AGATAAACCAGCAACTGGAGATAAACCAGGACCTTGAGCAGAACCAGAAGCAGAACCAGAACCCTGCCCTTTACCTGACCCCTGACCTCTGACCCCTGCCTGCCCCCTGGCCTTTACCTGCCCCCTGACCTCTGACCCCTGCCTGCCCGCAGCTCCTCCCAGCCCCAGCACTGGCAGGCCCTGCTGGGGCTGCACGTGCAGGGCCTGACCAGCGAGTGGACGCTGAGCCGCGGCCTGCGGCGCGTCCTGGCCCACCCGCAGTACGACGCCCGCAGCTACGACTACGACCTGGCCCTGCTGCAGCTGGACCGGCCCCTGCTGCTCGGTCAGCACGTCTGGCCCATCTGCCTGCCCTCCCCCACATACCAGCTGCCCCCCGGACACCAGGCCTGGATCACCGGCTGGGGGGCCACCCGGGAGGGAGGTGGGTGGAGGGAGGGAGGGATGGATGGAGGGGTGGAGGGAGGGATGGAGGTGGGTGGAGTGGAGGGATGGAGGGAAGGATGGATTCTTTCTTTTAACCACATGGATTTAGAATAATAACGAGAAAACTTTTATGAGCTGCTGGTTGTAGTTCTAGGTTTGAGCCACAAGAGGGCGACAACCTGATAGATAGATAGATAGATAGATAGATAGATAGATAGATAGATAGATAGATAGATAGATAGATAGATAGATAGATAGATAGATAGATAGATAGATAGATAGATAGATGGATACATTACTTTTTTTAATGAAAATACTTATTTTAAATAAAAAATAGAATAGATTTAATTTAAATTAAGTCTATTTTAATATTTAAATAAACCAGGGTAAGATGGAAAGTATTTTACTTTTTTAAATTTAACTGCTTATTTATTTTAACAACATAGAATAAGAATAATAACAACAGCAAAAAAAACAAAAAACCTTGAGCTGCTGGTTGTAATACTACCTTTGGAGCACCAGAGGGCGACAACTGGGTAAAACACATCAGGTAGAACCAGGATTAGAGATAGTTTTTTTATTTACATACTTATTTCTTTTAAATTAAATAATCAAATATATTTTATTTAAATAACCTATATTTTATTATTTCAATAAAACAGGATAATACAGATATATAGATGGTAATTGATTCATTTTTTTTATTTAACTACTTATTTCTTTTAA